GTAAATAAAAAAACAGCTTAAAAATATGTTAAAGGAAATGTGTACAATGATGCTTATGCATTTATTTCAAAATAAATTTCAAACATTGAGTTCATGGAAAAGGATTTTAAATGAAATTCACATAGGATATCTAGTTTATTTTAGCCTGAGTTTGTAAAAAGTACGTAGAACAAAGTATATTCGAAAAAAATAAAGAAATTTTGCCTCAATAAAATTATTATCCTGTGAACATGTTTCGTTTTGGGGAATTAGTTATTAACAAGAGTGATATATTTTTTGTTACTATTACAAACTTTTTTTTTGTGCACCTCGCTCTCGCTGATGAGTGAGCAGAATGCTTAATCACGGGGTGGGGGGCGTAGGTTTTGGGGTGGCAGGGGAAGCGGAAATGATGCTCGCTGGCAATTTATTTGAAACCGCATAAAACAAGCGACGAGTAAAAATGTATCCGCCGCTCCTTTAGAATGTTGCTGCTGCTGCTGCTGCTGGTTGGTGTTGCCGCTGATTTTGCCATGGACCGAGCGGCTAATGAACAAACAGAGGAGCTGCGCAGATAGGGAACGGATGATGGAAACCTCAGTAAACAACTGCAGTCCTGGTAAATAGACGCCGGCGAGGACTTGGCCCGTAAACAGGCTGGCTCCGGCTGCATAAGCAAAAACAGAAGGAAATGGCAGCGGCAAACCAACCAAAGCTGCCAACTAGAGCAACGTTATTAACTTGAATAAAAATATTTACTGCCCGTCGAGCACTCCAGTTATCAATGGTGATGCAGCAGCAGCAGCAGCAGAAGCGATGACAAGTCGAGGCGAAGGCTGCACTGCATCCCATCCATCCAGGACTTTGATGACGATGATGATGCTGGTGATGATGATGATGAAACGCAAGCACTTAGTGCGCTGCCGGCATTTACTTTGGCACTCACTTTTTTCGTCCTTGTTTGCCCACCCTGATTAAAGTTTATTTTAATTTGTTGCTGTTGTTCTTTGCCGTGCTGCTGCGGCTTGGCTTGATGCTTCCTGTTCATTTTTCTTCTTTTTGGTAGAGTTTTTCACTTTTGGCTTCTGCCGTTCCCCGTTAAGTGGCACAATTTGGTGGCCGCCGCTTCCCGTACCCCCGTCCCCCCGCCCCCCATTTCTCAGCCATTCTTCATAACGCATCGCCGCTCAGGCGTGCCCCCAAGTGCAGTCGAGTGCGAAAAGAAACCGCGACGGCTTGGTAGGTGCCAAAAAGGGGGGCCGGCATCCCCAATTTCACCTGGCATCATTCCTACAGGCATCCCGGCATCCCGGCATCCCGGCAACTCCATCTGCGTCTCAAGGTGCCACAGCCCGGCCGGCTATACATGCGCGAATTAATCTTAATTGAAATTCCTTGCCGTATGTGCCATATGCTGTTTGCTCATGCAGATGTCGGTCCGTAATGAAATATTAAAGGATATTAAAATGCTCGCGCGAGGCACGGGTCTTAAGAAGTATTTGCACCGCATTAAATTTCATTTTCACATTTCGGCTTCCCAGGGATGGAAAATATGTGCTATAAGTGCACCTCGCACAATTTATTCTTCAACTGTCATGAGTAATTATGGTTTTATCTGCAAAATTGAATTTCAACAATTGCCTTTACGCACACAATTGATTTAAACCAAAATATGCAAAAACATTAAAGCACAAGTATTCGTCAAATTAAATTCATTGTAAACAATGGAGTTCTATTCAATCGCCGTATAGAAGAAATATCGTGTGCAAAAACAAACCACTTCGTTTCCCATCACTGAACATTGAGGGGTGGCAAAAGCAAGAGCAACAGCAAAAGCGAAAGCAAATACCCATGAGGTTGGATTTTGCCTCCTTAAGCTCAGTTTATGTTCCATTAAAATGTTTTAAAATTCTATCCCACATGTATCCCCAACCCCATGCTCACATATTCCGCTCTTGCGCTCTGCTAACAATTAAGCAAGATGCTAATTGTTTCACAAAGCATTCGCACTTCGTCGCTTTCCAAGCACCATGGCAAAGTGCCCCATGCCCCCGCAAAGGATGCCCCATGCCAGGATGCGGAGTTGCCCCGATGTTCGCCTTCGAAGCGTCCAGCTTAAATTGAAATTTAATGCCAGGGCATAAGAAGCTTAAGCCCTCTCCCTCAGCTGGATATGGTTGTACACATGTTAAACACTTTTTTCCCACCTCCAGCCAACCAGCCAACCATCCAACCAGTCAGCCATCCAGCTAGGAATCCTGCCAGCCTTGCGGAGTTTTTAGTTTGAAATCCTTTGGCAGATTGCTAACCAAATGCCGAAAGAGTCCTTGACTTGCCCACTCCTTTCTCGAGCTCTACTCCTGGATTCCCCAATGTAGCTGTGCAGATTCTAATTTGTATGCAAATCAAAATCAATAGGATTAACCAAGTTACATAGTTGGGAAGCATTGTCGAGTTTTTCCATTGCCATAGAGCTGTTTTCCAGCAAAATTGTTTTCTCAAAAATATTTCATGACTACTGCCGCAGCTTTCTCCCACTCACAGGTGGGTGTGTGTGTGTGTGTGTGTGTTTTTCGTCGATTGCAGATAGTGTGCGCTTACCAAACTTTCCTGCTTTGCCTCATAAGTGCGAATTTATGTGCCAATGAAGTTACCTGACTTGATTATGAAAACGAGCGCAGGTCCTGGGACTCGAAAGTGGCCCACTGAAGTGTGGGCTATGTGGAAAGGCAGTGCTTTAAAAACAATTGAAAGCGCTTTCTGGGGATTTTCGGAAACCTGCAACACAAAAATACTACTCGCAAAAGCAGGAATTAAGTTTACGTAAAAGTTGAGTACAATTAGCTGCTTAAAGCAATGTGTAAGCTTCAGCTTATAATGGAGTAGTAACTAATACTTTCGAAAGGACTAGTTCTTATAACTTGCTATTGAAGCACCAGATTGAGAACGCCATATTACGAAACTTGGAGCCCAGAGCAAACCGAATTCGACCAACTGGTGGGCCATTTTTCATTGCTTACTGCCATGCAAATACCACACACACACACATGCACAGAGAGGACACAGCAGCATATGTGTAAATATTTAAAAACCTACGGCTGTCGGCAAAGAATAAAGGGAATTACTTGGGTGTGCGAGTATCTGGCTTACGTTTAGCCAGCGGTTCTGCAGTATTCTCGTATGTGGCATCCTGACACTTGGCGGTGCCCGGGCGCAGACATAATCCTCCGGCCATATATCGCTATCTGTGGCGCATGTGGCGCATGTGGCTGCTGTTTCCGTTTCCGTATCAGTTTCCATAATCGCCAGTGCCGTTGCATCGCTTTTGGTTGGGTTGCTTTGTGCACTCGCAGGTGTTTGTGGCACTTTTCGCCATGTGTCCTGGTAAATCAGCAGCTGCAGCTGGCCAGGATTAGGGCTCCAGCTGGGTAGCATCCGATCGAACGCAGGGCGGTGCAATTAATTAATCTGATTAGTGCGTTTCGGGCGGCAAAGAAATCTCTTTCAGTTTTGCTAATTTCATTAATGGCTGGCTCGCCGCCTGCCGCAGCCGCAGCCGCGTGCCATTTTGCGTACAAGTGGCGCATTTAATTAGGCTAATAAAGTAATTCAGGCAGCGAGTGTAAATGAAAGAAGCGGCGCGAAAGGAGAACGCAGATCCTGTGCCGGAGTTTCCCGCGCGCGAACTGCTAATAAAACAGTCATAATGAGTTAGCTGTAGTTGGACGGCCCAGGAGGCGCTGAGTGGGCGGCCAGCTATTCACCCACATGTGTACATATATATTACATACATCCTGGCTGCTCCTTCGTGCCTGGCTCAATAGAATTAAATTATCCCCGTTAGTGTGTGCGTGTGCGCGTTGGCTGAGTTTGTTGCAAGTGATAAACTGATTAGCACTTTGCGCGTCGCCCTCAACTTGCAACAGGACCTCGCACCATGAATCCCGGACCACGGGCAAGGAACCATGGACTTCTGGACCCAGGCCCACGCATCCGGCACACCAAGCTTCGGACTCCGAACCGCGGACTCCTGACCATGGACTCCCTTGGTCGCTGGACCTCGGAGCGGGCTGTGCAACAAAATGGTTACTCCAGCATAGGCAAACGTGGCCTGTAAAATCAGAATATAATTAATTTCATAAATCATGCTCAATGCAGGCGTACATTTATGGGTATAAATCATGTAATTAACTGGAGCATAGTCCCGACCCGGGTCAACATATGGCCAATGGCCAATGGTCGCTGGCTGGGCGACCGGGAGCCATGGAGGCCATGATAAACAAGATATTAACGACTTAATTTACTGCAGCCCGTGTGCCGCGGCAAGTGTCTGCATGGCCATAAAGTGCAGGCACGCAACACAAATATAAATGGTTGAGTAAATATACATACGCGTATGTAAGTGATGAGAGCTAACGTGGAGTGGTGCAACCTTTGGATTGCCACGTGCAGGATAATGTTAATAATTTTCCGAGTGGCCTAATTATAATTATAGTGGTTTGCGAAACGCTAGACTGCTAGTTGCAAATGTCCAGGGGGAGAGATTAATTTTAGTAGCATTTGTCATTCATCAATCACAGTGGGAAATACATTTTGTTTTATGGGACGTGATTATATTATGTTTTATATATTTTATGAGTGTAATTGTAGGTTTTAAAAACCCATGGACCCCAACCGATTGGATGTAGCGCACTTAACGCTGCGTCTCTTGTGTGAAATTAAAACGCTTAACGGTCGTGCAAATTTTCCCCTTCTGGTAACCCTTTTGCTCGGCTACTGTGTACGATAACCGCCAATTTTTCAATAAACTGCAATAAATGTTTATCCATTTATATGCTTGATGCAATTCTTCTTTATGCTGCTACTGTTGCCGTTTGTTTTTTAAGCCAAAGGTTGCAACAAAAAATGGAAAAAATGAAAAACGCAGTCATATTAATGGCCGTTCTGCACTGTTGGCCAACCACGAACTCTCAGTCTCCCGCACCCACAAAGTACTGCCAGTCCTTTGACGTCAAATTGGCTGATTTAAGTAAAATGTTTTATTCACCGGCAGCCTATTATGGCAGTTAAAAGGGGGCTCAAGGGTTATAATATAGGGGTTTTCAATATTAATATAGGATATTCGCTTCTATATTAAAATATATGTAACTGCCTAAGGGAACATTTCAACGGAATTGTCTTTTTTGTTGAGTTGCTCTAACAAGACATAGGCCTTGCACTTTTGTACGGTGGATCTGAAGCAGTGTCCATAAAAGGCTGTTTCCTTAAACTCTGCAAGCATAAATGAAATGGTTAACTCCTATACCGAGCGTTCACTGTACCCTCCAGCTTACTGTACGCGTCCGGCAGCTTGCAATTGATCATTTCCAGTTCGCAGGAGCTCTTGAAACTGGTGTAGCATCTATTATTAAAGCCACACACCGCATGATCCACCCAAGCAGCGCAGGTGGTACAGTTGCCCTCGCCCTGCGTGGCACCCAGATACGATACTTAAAGCTGGGTTTTAAGTCCGTGTCAGATACTCAATATGCGGCAAACTTACCCAAGAGTAGCAACCAAAGAACTTGCATGGCCGACTGGTCGAAGGAAATGATCTTGGCCCACACAGCCGTGAGTTGTGGAAATGATTGGGTGTGGCGAATGGATTTCAGGGAATTTGCATAATCACCGCCTGACTCAAGCCGTGGCGAGGCCTTTTACTTTATTACAAATGAAATTAGAAGGGAATTATAATTGCTGTAGCATATGCAGCAAGGCAGTAGCCCAGGAACCCGGAACCCAGAACCCAGAAACCGAACTCCCTGGATGTTGCATGTTGCTGCCGCCAGCAAGGAAATGAAAACGCCCCCATGTGAGCCAAAAAGCCAACGACCTGGGCAGGGCAGGCACAAGCTGTAGAGCGGGGGGCAGGAAAAAAATAAACACACCAGAGTCGGAGGAGTCCTGCCGCAGAGCAACTATAAAAAGGACACCCTGCAACCGTGTGTACCGGAGTCTCTATTGGTGTCAGCCAGCAGCTTACAAAGTCAGACGCATGTGTGTGTGTGTGCTCAGTACGAAGGACGCTCCCAGCTTTTAAGTATAATTTTCCAGATACACAGGCCGAGCCAGTGGCGTCCAGGTGGCAACTGCTAGACAAAAACGATGTGCACGCCCCCACAAAAAAACACACACAGACAAGAGCATAGAGGAGCACAAGGACCAGAAGGACCCGCCAGCTAAACGAGTAGGTGGAGAAAATTTAATATGATTATGTTGAAGTAAATTGCTTGAAACAAATGTTGCATGGGCATCCGCCCAGCGATCTCCACCTGTGCAACATACACACCCCTGCATGTGCATATATATATACACGTGTATATACACACCCATCTATCTGGCAGCCAGACTTTGATTCACTCAGTTGGCAGACCTTTAAAAAGCAATTAAGGACAATACGATTTGGGCCTCAAAGGCTGCAAGCTGTCAACGAGTCGAGAATGGTGGAAAGTAAGTGCTCCGCTTATTGTGTGGCCAATGAATTACGTTTGGGCCTCTGTGATTTGCAAACCATATAAATAATAAATTGGTTACAGCTAGCAACAAAGCTTAGATGGATGCGGATTCCAATGTAATTTTTACATTACGATTAATAGCTTTAAGAAGCTTAACGAGCGAAAATCATTAGACTAATTATGGCCGCCTCATTAGCAAGCTGTCAAATAATGATATGCCATTATTGCTGCCATTCAATGAATGTGGAACACTAATACTAATTATAATTATCAAATGCTGTGCAGACGGATCCACAGAAAAAGCGTTAGCATTGAGTACATTGTTGCCAATGTCTGCGATGTGGCATGCCGCCGTTGGCAAATCAATTGACATGCCTGGATGCCGACCGTCAACAGCCCTCAGTCCATGATAATTAAATTGCGCATTGAATTTTAATGCAATTCAATTAAAATATAAAATATTTTCAATTTTCAATTGGTTCACTGAAGCGGTTAGCTGTCGTTCGACTCCGAGCCACGTAATTAAATTAATCAACGATGCTTTCATTCATTGCCACCATTGCTGCCAGCGTTTATTTGCTACCAACATGTGATACAATTCGGTAATGCCTATATTTCTGTGGAATCAATTATTCAAATCGTAAATTTGGCTTCAAATTCCAAGGCATTAGCAGATTATTGAAGAATTAAATGAAGAGTTCATATAAAAATAAATAGTGGACTACCGGAAAAAGCCCAAAACTTGTCCGATTATTACAAACTCATCGACTTTGACTTAGTTGATTGACTCTTCCCGTTCCCAATCAATTGGCTGTCAAAAAGTCAGTTGATTTTTTACCGGTCAGCCGCAATTGCAATTGAACATACAAACCCGCAACCAAACAGAAATTTCTGATGCTGTCTGCGGCTTTGCCTAATCGAAATTAGCTTTGGCCTCAAATAGGCGGTGGCAATTAGCCATCGCCGCGTTCTGGTGGCTGCTGGTTGGAGTTGGGGATGCGGATGCGGAGGTGAGCGCCTGACGATGTCACATTCAATTGAGAGCAAGGACCGACATCCATTAAGCCACTGTCACGTTGGAGCCCACTTTTTTCGGTGGCCAAATGCTGCACAAAAGCGAAACAAAATAATTTAAAGCCTGGATGGAGCAGTCGACGCACACAGCACAGCAAAAAACAATTATCTTCGCACTAAAGCCAGTTACAGGCTGCCGCAGTGGCAAATGATTGACACAAGGCTGACAGGCATTGCAGCTCCTGACATGAACAGGATCAACGGGGAAACTCGGAACTCGCAGCCAGGATAGACGCTGCCAATCTCGCGCTGATGTTTTGTAATCTGCTTAAATGTAAAGTTAACTATTTCGCCCATTTGGTCAATTTGGTCAAGGCAAAACAGAATGCAAAAGCATTCACAGCCAGCAGCAGTTGGAAACTTTTTGAGCCATGAATGCATGCATGTGATCCTGTTTTTGTAAAAGCCAGGGGCTAAAATGCATACACATCAAGGGTCGAGGGTGCTCGTCATTTTAGGCTGGTGGCGTAGTGCCACTTTGGCCAGACCCTGGGGTTTCAGGTCAATGGTTTGGCCAGAGCACACACACACACACACACACGCACTAAGGGCCACTTGAGAGCCATCTTCCACGCGGCGTATGAGTAATATCTGCACAGCAGGTGAATGTGGCACAGCACGGCACGGCACATTGGGGCACCAAGACGTTGCGGCCTGTTAATTTGATTTCTTGTCAAAGCAAACGGCAGGTGCCAACCAACAGCAGACGGCATCCAAGGACGCACTTTTGACTTTCTCTGGTTTGCCGTTGACGTGACAATTTCACACGCAACGCACACGCTCGCGTTTGCTCAGCATAAATAAACAATGGCTGACAGGATACACGAGCAGGTCCTTCTGGTGCTGGCTTCTTCGCCGCATCGAAGCGTTAAATGGTTAACTCAACTCACTTAGAACTCATTTGAGGAGGCAATCCAGCAATATAAGGTCTTTAGCAAGACGGTTTTAGTGCACGGAAAATCCACCGAAGAGTGCACTCCAAGTGCAGTGCTTAATTATGCAAACTGCTGCATTAAATACATAATTAAATAGCTCGGCCATTGCCATTTGCATACTGGGACCACCAACAGAAAAAAACACCAGCCCACTAACCACACTGGCCAATGGCAGCTTAAGTCTTCCGCTTACAAAACCGCGCGCTGTGCTTCATGAATTTCATACAAAATGGCAGGCGGTTGTAGCAAGGAGCTACATAGTATAGAAAAGCTTCATAAAAATGGCCAAAGCGCATTAAAATCGTGAGCGCATAAAAAGAATATTTTAAGCTAGCCAAAAATGGTCGCTAAAATGGCGGCCAAGAGGGAGAGAGACTTTGTTGGGAAGAATGGGCGCTTAAGCCAAAACGCTCCACCAAAATGGCCGGCAGAAAAGCGAATGATAAGCGCCGTTTTTTATGGAGCCCAGAAGAGCAGGCGATGCATGCATAACGCTGCAAAACGGTGACACATTTCAATTGGTTGTAGCCCGGAAAAAGTGGCAGTCGCGCCATAAATGCTCTACTAATTTGCATTTAGCTGCTATTTCCCAAACATCTCCTAACAAAATGTTGCTATTTGCTTTCTTAGTTTAGTCAGGTTTTCTTTTTAGTGTAAGTACTTTGTAAAACATGACGAGACGCTGCCTCACAAGAATTGGTAATAGTGCAAAGATGCCCTAAAAGATGAAGCAAGATGTAATTTCACTAAATCTCGAACAACTTTGGCTACCACGTACCACGGAGCACCTGGCTCGTTCTCTTTTAGGGCATAAATCGCTTGGTCTAGTGCGGGGATAAAAATCAACACCAAAGAGCTGCGCTTTTAGCCGTGCCACCATGAAAAGCGTCCCACACACACACACACACACACACACACACGCAATTGGATGGCTGTGAAATTGACAATATTTCACTGGTAAAAGCCGAATTTAGTTGCAGTTTGGCATCCGTTTTGGCCCATTGAACTTTGCCGTTGATTGCGGCAGCCCCTATAAAAAAGACGAGAGCTCAGAAGGGCAAGAAGAAAAAAAACGAAATACATTGCCTGCCACAAGGGGTTGCCAATTCAGCGGGCCTCTTTAAAAGCTGGCTAAAAGCAGCCAGGCCGACAGGTCTCAACTGGGCCTTTAAGATGGGAAAAAATAAGGCGCAGCCAGGCGTGTAAAATGTTATCGCAACATCAAATTTCATACATCATAAAACATATTGGCTTAGAAAGTAACAATTTTGATTGCGGTAAGACGGAACACAGCAATGGGATCCTTTTGGGGCAAGCAGGCGTGGCATGCAATGAGCCGAGATGCTGAGACAGGGTTCCCAGGACCCTAAGCGGCTTTCGGGTGTGGCCTGTGTGCCCGCTCCTTTCTCGTCCTTCGCCTGTCTCCTTATCGCCATCAAAGGATCTGTAGCAGGCTTCACGGCGCCTTTAAGTGGGCCATTCCGGGACCATTTTTGGGTCATGGCGACAACGCCATGAGCTCCACTCTTATGTGGTAGTTTTCAGGGTCTGGACTCAGACGCTCAGACAACGAAATGACTTTATAACTAGCTGCCAGCCATAAAGCTCCACCCACTGGGTGGTTTCTGCGATTCCAAAACTGCTGTTTCTGCTGGCGCTGTTGCTAATCATTGATTCGGTTTTCGGCTCGCTGGCAAACTTTTCACTTTCCAAACTTTGGCTGAAAGTCAGCGGCGAAAAGGGCTCGAACAACTTTCGCTTACGGAAACAGGAAGCGATCGTCTTCGTTGAGTTAGGCACTTTATTTCACCACTGACGTTGGCCAAAAGTTAAGGGGGGCAACAGATGCCGCTCATTCGAGGCTCAGGTATAAATCAGCAGGAAAAATCAAGTGTGCGGGCCATGTATGCAATTAATATTGGCCCAGTGCGTGGTAGCTGGTAGCTGGTAGCCTGGAAGCTGCAGCCGGCGGAAATGGTTCGAAAGTTCAGTTCGCAGTGACAGCAATCGGGTCGACAACCTGCCAGGCAAAAGGCGACATGGGGCACGGGGCACGGAGCACGGGGCATGCGGCATGAGGCATG